AGCCTGTTCCTTACCCGAAAAAGGATATACCTGTCCAGACTACAGGCAGCCAGTTTTCCCAGGAGAATACTGTAAGAGACCATATCAAAGGCTTTGCTGAAGTCTAGGTAGACTACACCAACAGTCTTTCCCTTATCTTCCAGTCTGATCATTTAGCCATAGGAGATGAGGTTGGTCAAGCAGGACCTGCCTTTCATGAACTCATGTTGGCTGGGCTGATCCCCTAGATGCCACGCGCATGTCGTGTGATCTCACTCAAGATGATTTGCTCCATAACTTTCCCTGGTACTGAGGTTAGGCTTACAGGCCTATAGTTCCCCAGATCCTCCTTATGGCCCTTCTTGTAGATGGCAGTCACACTGGCAAGCCTCCAATCCTCTGAGACCTCTCCAGATAACCAGGAGTGCTGGTAGATGGTGGAGAGCAGCTCAGCTATCACTGCCACCAGCTCCCTCAGCACCGGTGGAGTCCATCCGGTCCCATGCTCTTGTGACAGTCCAGATGGAGAGTAGCAATCTTACTGTCTCCACCTGAATCATCAGGGGTGTATCAGACTTCCAGATCAGAGCATAAAAGCTACAGAACTTCACTGATTACTAAGCAATTTGAGAACATATTTCAGGGTACTATAATATTCACTTTTTTTTTTTTTTTCTCAAACGTTGTAAATTTAGATTTCACTGTTGGATATATCAGTTAAAATGGGATTTAAAAGTTGGTCTCTAAAATTTTCCTGTTCTCAGATTACTAGTATGCTAAAATTGTGATGAAACAGTAAATGTAGTTGGAGGTAAAGAAAAATGATTAAGAGTGGAAATATTCAATTAATAATTTAATCTCACTTTTTGTATTAGTACATATAGATGTCACAAGCGTACATTTTTTCTATATGTTTTGAGGCTTCACTGGATATGAATATACTGAGGAGCAAACCATGCTCTGAGGATAACTGTCTAGCTAAGGATGCACAAATTGGAAGAAACTAACAGAAATTTTACATGGATGTCAGAGAGATGTATTAGCAGAGGGCTACGTTCAAGCCAACAAGTCCTACTTCTCAGCAAGTTTTCAGATGCTTTTATCTTCAGAAATTATTCCTCAGGATGGAACATTAGTTGAAATATTGGAAAAAGTATAATATTTACAGAACAAGATAGACTATTTTGGGAATCTTCAGCACTGTAAATGCTTACAGATTCTGGCCAGAGATGTCTTTGATATCATGATATGACTGAGAATGCATTAAGTGGTCTCTCAACATGCCTCTGTGAATTGGGCTATGTTCAGGAGAATTCCTCCAAGACCAGGATCCAAGATGTATTATTAAACAGATTGACTAAATATAGCCAAAGAGGAGGTGTCAGAAAAGATCTGTTATCTAATGGAAGCAGATACTTTGATAAACCCTTGTAGAGGTTAGAAGTGAACAAAGAGGGGATGATGAACTAGGGAACTGAAATTTGTAGTGGCTGTAGGGGAAGAAATTGCTAAAACTGAGTGGAGGAACAACATACTTAGAGAAATAATCAGAGGGCAGCTTGTGAGGTTTGTTGTGTACATGGATAGTATGGGCCCTCAAAGGGACATCAGCAAGGGCAGTGAGCAGTACTTGCTGTTGGCACTCTTACTATGAATTTTCTTAGAGAGTAGAAAATAATCAAATACAGAGAATGGAGAATAAAGTTTTACTATCTGTAAGATATAGAGTGTTGAAGTTTAATTAAGGAATCTTCACTGGATGAACTGTTATCTGCCTCAGATTACTAAAGACTATTGGGCATACAGAATGCTTACCTCAAAGGAAAGCTATGAGGATTAATGAATGTATGCTTAAATAGCACTTCATTTATATTGTGAATGCATTCTAGAGAGGTCGATTTTGTAATGATACAGATATGGACTCTTGAGCAAGAGCTGACAGATGCAAACCCTTGGTCTAAATTCAGACAGAGCGGAATAAACTGAAAGCAAGAATTTTATATGGCTGGGTGGAACAAGATTGATAAATCAGGATTAATAGGATTAATAAAACAGGATTAATAAATAATTGAGAAGAAAAACCTCAGCTTTGGGAAATATAAATATTGTGCAGTAAAAACCATTTGCTTTTTAGACCTTTTTCTCTTTGAATAAGTTTGGGAAGGCTTAAATAGGGTGACTAAGTGAGTAAGCCCATTAAACCTCTAAAAACTAGTACAGGGTAAAAGGTAGTATAAAGAGTAGTGGGTAGCCTCTTCTTCCTTGCACTTCTGTGAGACAGGATGGTTTGCTTTTTCACTCACCACTCTGTTTATTTATTTGTTTCCTCCATTTCTTTTTCTACTGCAAACACAAAGAGTCTTTCAGCTGGTAGGAAAGGATAGTTTACAGTTGCACCTAAGGATCTGTCCAGCACATGGGCAAATCAAAAATGTTATGTAATAAATACATGATGCCATCACTGTGAAAGTTATTGCTTTAAGGCTTCCAGCTTATCTGCTGGGTTTCTTGCTTCTACACCCAACAATGACCCATTAATCTAGAGTACTGAATAGATATGTAATTAAACTAATTAGAATTCCTAGCTCTGCATAAGGCAATCTAAATGTGCCTTTTAGTTTTTGGGACAGCTCCTCACACTAGAAGACAGCGATGTGTCTAAGAAAATGATTATTCAGATATCAGTTAAAAATGTCATTAAGGAAGTTACTGTTAATAAAAACAAGCCTGAGGGTAATGGAATCTTCAAAATAGTCTTTACAAGTTGTATTTCTAGTTGCACTGAATTTTAACTTGATTCAGATTCTTATCTTATTTGAACATCTTTGAAAAACCCCAGCCCAGACTACTCACAAATTTAATTTAATCTTGAAGCTCTCTGCTTTAATCCTTACCTATCATGTTTTAGTTCTCTGTCTCTATAGTGTCCACTGAGGGCTTAATTGTGTAAGATGCCAATTGTGTGCTGGACCTGCCTCTAGTTACTGGGGTTGTGAGACACAATGCAGTCTCTACATACAGTCTGCATCTGAGAGGTCTGTATTTTAAATGTGCTGAACTGGAGTGTGTGCCAAGCACATTTTGTTCAAAGGTGGTTGGTGGATAAGGAACAAAGCAGGCTGTGGAGCTAGATTTTGCTTCTCTAAGGATGCTGGCTGTGGAGTGAGAAGGCAGCACAGCTGAGTTCATGGGAAAAGAGTATGCCTGGCTCGTGGAGGCAGTGGTAAATTCTCAGTCCTGATAGTCATCTGTCTTTCCTTCCAATGAAGAATTTACTCTGCAACACACTCCAACTGAACATCAGATTTACTGGATTCAAGTTCCTTTCAGTAAAGTAATGTAAGAAAATTTTGCATATTTGAAACTGAAATGTTTATGAACTGATAGTAAGCCCATGGTTGATTGCAGCTCAGTGTTAGGTTGACACTTTTAAAGGAGTGCCAAAGAGCTTAAAGCAGACCTGTTGAAAAGGTTAGTGTATTCTCAGAGGCAGCTGGCAAACAATAGATAACAACAGAAAACTCAGTGCAGACTTTGAGTTATACAATCACAGAAGAGAAGAGGTTGAAAGACAGAATGACAGATATATTTTCTGGTGAACAAAGTGGAGCATAACTAAAGCAATATAATTAGCATAAATTGGAATTATCTTTTTTATTTTAATACTTTTTTTTTTTTTTTTTTCCCACTAATAAGGATCTGGTCTTGTGTAAGGTCCTGGAATTTTGACAACCAGCACTGAGAGTCAATCAATTCCTCTGAGAGAGGAGGGAGGAAGAAGTGGGAATCCTCCAGCCTCAAGGACAGGGCAGAAGGTGTCCCAGAATTACCAAGCTGTGACACACTGGTGCTTGACTTCAGTGCTGGACAGTATAACCAGGAGCTGGGGTTTATGAGGGGGACAGGGCAGGAAATGAGAGATAAACTTTAGCTACAATTAACTCAAGTCAGGGAAAATCTCAGGACAGTTTAATAATCTGTAACTTGACCAAGTACCGAGAGATGCCTGACAACATCAGATGTCCTGAAAAACTCAGCTTCCTGAAATTGCTACATTATCCCTATGTTTCTCTGACTCCTATTTTGTACAGTTAGATTAAGAAGATGTACGTTAAACACAAAAGAACAACCACTTAAGTATTACTTAATTACCTGTATTGTTTTTGAAGAAGCTAGTTTTGCTGACAAAAATACTGTGAATTTCTTTTTTTTATTTCTGATTCCTAGACTTGAAGGCTGTGCTTCACCATTTTTACAGTAGTAGTTTTACATTTTATCAAGGATTGCAATCCAAGTTCTTACGGGCACTGTGCAAAAGCAGAGAAGAAAGGTGGATACAGCCTCAGACCTGGAATGGAATGTGTGAAATGACTGCAATTCATGTCAACAAGGATAGTTAATAGGATAGTTAGCACACAAAATCCCAGTGTGGCTGAGTTAAGAGAGATTCTTTTAATGCATATAATTGATACAGCATGAATATTCAATGTTTTTCAGTTAAAGGTAAATAAGTGTGGGAGAGAAAATTGTTTCCCTCTACCATGTATGTTAGAAAAACTGTCATTGTGCAAACTTAAATATTCAGGGGGCTCAGTGGGCTCCATTATTTTCTTCTACGAGGGGTACAATTGACTCAATATTTTGCTTCTGTTAAAATGACCTGTTTTTCTCAAATATATCTAACTTGTAAGTATTTGGAGATTAACTGGTTGATCAGAAGTTATCAGAAGCATAAAAAACCTTCAGCTGAAAGGTGAGTAAGATTTGATTGCCAGCTTTGTTGGAAAGTGAGGTGTGTTGATAGCCAAAGCTGCCATTGGTGCTCTCTGAAGTGATGTGCAGTCTCTTGCAAAATCAATACATAGTCAGCCTTTGTGATACTAATGCTTGCTTTGGCTGCACATGGAAAACCTCCAGTGTGATAATAGAGAACAAAGTTCACTTTCTGGATTGTTTATTGTTGAGTAATGTGCTGAAAACGTTGCAAGGTGAAAGATGATAGAGGATTTTCCAGGACAATCTCTCCCTTGAGAGAGACAATGTCTCTTTTCAAGACAACTTGTATTTTGTTCATAGATATTCCTATAGGAACAATTGGACACTGAGGATCTGCATGTCCGAAAGGTGAATACCAGAAATGGTATCTGACAAGGATTTACTTAAATGGTGCTTGTGAGTGTGATGGTTCAAATCAACCAACTAGAGGCTTCTCTGTGGAAGACTTGGAATTTATCAGCATACTTTTATAGCTTTATAGGTATCTATTCATATTGTAGTCATAGTTCCAGTGCTGAAAGATTAGAGAACATACCCATGTACCAGAACACTTCTCTGTTCTTTTGCTTTTTAGCTCCAGCTTTTCTTTTGTACCAGTCTGGAAGACAAATAAAAGTTGAGCATATGACTAGTTTGATAGTGCGTATATGAAGGTGCGTATATGAAGGTCAGTCTGCTTTCTTGTCTCTGCAAGTTGTTTCCAAGTAATGTATAACAACAGGGAAACTGCATAACAACTCTTATCCAAAACAGTTTTCCTCACTCAAGCAATTTATGACCAAGGATTCCCTTAGCCACCAGGATCATTGTCACCATGAATGAAAGCTGCCTCAGCACCATGCTAATTTCTTTAATTTATCCAAACGCTTTACGAACCCATACAAACATTCGCTGTACACAATGTCCTATGCCAAGATGCTCCGTTGTTGAGCTGAGTTATCGAAGCATTTTTTTTTTTTTTTTTAGTTTGAATCTACCACTTCCTATCTCATTTGATAGACACAAGTTTTCTACAGGGAAAGGTAAGGAACAGTCATGCTCCAGTCATCTATCTTCTACTCACATTTTATGGGTGTCTGTTATATCCTCCTTTGATGGCTCTTCCCAAACCCGCAATTTCTTTTTAAGCTGCAGAGTCTAATTTCTCTAATCATTATCAGTCAGAAGTTGTTAAAGGTTTTCTAGTTGTCCTTATTTCTCTTTTTTTCTCTCTTGTTTTCTTTTCTACAAGACCAGAATTGCTCTTATATCAGGTTGTTTTTCTTTTTGCACTTAACAGATTTATAATGTGGAACATTATTCTATCTCTTTCATAATAATTCTTGACATTTGATTTTTTCTTTTGACAGAGAATTTAGCTTATCATCATCAAAGATCTTGTCTGAGACTAGAAAGTGGATATCCAAATATCCAAAAGATATTTGGATATTGAGCTGGGAATGTGAAAAAGATAAAAATTCATCAATTTTGTCCATTTTTTAAAGGGAGAGGTGAATAAGAACTGGACAAGATAACTCTTCTCTGTCAGCAGGCACTGACTCAACAGTAGCTAAAGGGAGTATCAACATATATGGTGCCTATCAGTGCTGCATTTTGGAGGCAATTGCAATTTTGGGGCATTTTATTTTATTTTATTTTATTTTAAATGCTTCCTGAGCCTCTGTGTACAACAGGCTGCAATGGAATATATTCTGTTTATATTCTGTTAATTCAATCTTTTCAAAACACAGAACCAAGGAAGAGCTTTTAAGTATTGGAAAAATGCAATATTGTGCTTTGAAGATAGAAAGTCTGTAAATTTTTGGTCTTTTGGGAAGGAAATCTGAGCAAACATTTTATACAAGCTATTGGGAAAGAAGAAAATACCCCTTTCACTTTGTCCCTACTTTGGAACAAAAGAATCATAATTCCATTTTAGTTTACATACATACATGTTTATTTGAATGTCTGCCTTTTCCTAAATATACATCTATTCCTTCAAATCCTTACCACTACAAGTTCAGTGTAAGGCTTATTCAGAGTCTGAGTACTTATACTGTATTTTTCTGTATCTTTTTTTTTTTCTTTTCAATATTTTTTCCCAAACTCCTATCATTTCAGATGATCTTACAAAAATGTTGGTAAGAAATACTGTAAGGTGTTAATGGCTATCACTATTAGAGGCTTTGATTCAATTCTCACAGGGTATGGTATACTCATTTTTTATTTTCTCCAGTTTGCAAGAAGACAATCAAAGTTCTTTGCTAAATGGGTTGATGGGATCCTACTGGAACTCTATAGAAGCTAGTACGGTAAGTAGTAGTTTGCAAAAAAAAAAGAGCTGAAATTTTATCTCTTTGGTCTGTGTGCATTAAAAGCAGAAAAGTTCTAAAAAGTTCTATTACAAGTAGAATCTATTCACCTAACCCTTTTTATCAACTTAATTTTCTCTCTTCAGAGAAAGAATGCAAGAAATTAAACAGATTCTGCAGAAAACAATTAAAGGCTAATCCTGTTCATTTTGTTTCAACCATTTTTTTTCATATTTTTTCAAGCATTATTCCCAAAATTATTTGAATATTTGGACACACAACCTAAATCTGAAAAATTCTCCGTGGGTGTAATCTAAGCTTTATAAAGAATTTGTACAAAATCATCTAGCAAAAAAAAACCACATTCAAACTGATCAAATCAGCTTTAGAAGACAATTTCTCCAGTAAACCCAGGAAATTATCTAGTTGGATTTCAATAATAAAAATGATAATGTCCCATATAAAGACACTTACATAACCTGAATTTAGGCTTATGGCCTTGGACTCCCTGAACGTCTGGTGAAGTTAGAGTGGTCAAATTTAAGCTCTTCCCATGAGTGATTCATTAGCGTCTTTCATTATCTATACAGGCAACCCTGAATATCAGCTGAAGCTCTTAAGTTTGATATCCAGTGTACAGTGGTGAAAATATCCTTCACTGATAGATCTAGTCATAATGTGAAGGATTATAAAGTCAGAATTGGTTATGCACAAATGTCAAGAGATTGGCATGGTGAAGATGGTGGCAGGAGAAAGCTCCAGTAGTCCTGGAGGATTCTGCGTGGGAAGTATGACAGCTTAGTGCAGATGTGCTTTTTCACTTGCTCTCCTGCTTCTTCTATATCTATACATGCCTTTTTCTTTCTCCAGTAGGAGAAATTGCTTTGCAGCTACCAAAAAGCAAAGATGGCCAGGATTGTTACTAAATAAAGAAACTTTATTATTTTTGTGGCACTAACATCATTTTCAGTAGTGGTAAAACAAGTTACACTATTCCAAAATGTGTAATTCCCCCACATTTATTGGCTGACAGGACAGGAAAATAACATGAACATCATTACAGAGCTAACAGACCTCAGCTACGTATTCTTAAATCCTATGAGAGTCCACTGTTCACCAAACCTTGACTTCAGTTGCTGCTCAATGCGGTTGAAATCCATTCATCATTTCCAGGAATGGCAAGAAAGGAGATCCTGATAACTAGAGGCCTCTCATTTTCATTTCAACGTTTGGAAAAATTATAAAGATTATTCTTGGAGTTATTAAAGAACATCTGAAAGACGATGCAGTCATTGATCATAACAAATAGGGCGTAGAGGGGCAGCACTGATCTATGCTCTCTGGTGTTAACAACAGGACTGAGGGAACGGCATGGAGCTGTGTGAGAGAGTGGTCAGACGGATGATAAGAAAACGCTTTTCATTACACGGTGGTCAAGCCCTGGAACAGGCTGCTGGAGGCAAAGGTCATAGCCCTTAGCTGCCGGAGTTCAAGGAGTGTTTGGACAATGCTCTCAGACCCTGTGTTTGGAGTAGTCCTGTGTGGGACCCGGAATGGCTCCCTTCCTACTCAAGGTACTCTATTATTCTCTGGCCCTGAGTGTAAAATAACATCTGTCTTCTAATTCAGAGCGATCCTTTTCAGGTTAGAAATTTCTTAATTAATGAAAACTACAGTATTGAAAGAGTTTAAATGCTGTATTATTTATGTTTCGTAGCAGCCCTCATTCTTCCTTCCAATCTTTTGGAGTAATCTAAATGTACAACTTTGTTCATAGAATTGTAGAATCACAGAATTCTTAAGAGTTGGAAGGGTCTTCTGAAGGCCATATAATCCTAATCCCCTGCAAGGAATAGGGACATCGCAGCCAGATCTGGTTTCCCAGGGCCTCATCCAGTTTCACCTTGAAAGTCTTCAGGGATGAGGCATCAACCATATCTCAAGGCACCTCTTCCAGTGCCTCACCACCCTCACTGTAACAGACTTTTTCATTATATCTAACCTAAATCTAACCTCTTTAAAATTGAAGCCATTCCCCTTGTTCTCTCACCCCAGACCCTGCTAAACAGTCTGTCCCCTGTCCCCTTCTTTCCTATAACTCCTCTGCAGATATTGAAAAGCTGCTATCAGGTAATCTCTCAAACTTGTTTTCTCTGGGCTGAACAGCCCCAGTTCTCTTGGACTATCCTTGTAGGAGAGGTGTTCCATCCCTTGGGTGACCTCCTCTGGGCACGTTCCAACAGGTCTATGTCTCTCACATCTCTGGTATGTGATGTTTCAGCAAATTCAGGAACACCTTTGGAAGTCCTGGATGGAAGATTTTCAGTGCTGTTTATACACCAGAGACATGTTGTTGTTATTTTAATGGGCAGATCCTTTCTGTCCTTTATTTTTGTGTGTGTGTGTTATTGCTTTATTACTTATAGCAAAGCAACACACCATTATGGACACTACATTAGAAAAGCAACAATGGAAACAATAACTGTCATCAGGCATAACTATAGACAGCCCCTGGAAAAAGAATTAAAGAAAATGGCAATAACACATTCAAACAGGATAGAAGTATGACTAATAAATGCAAAAGCTCCACTAGAAGCAGAGCACATAGGATTTTTATTTCTATTTTAACTTTGTGGTGCTGCTCATTAGTTGCTGCTAAAATCTAGTAAAAACATTTGGAAGTGAAAATGTATTTGCTTAAGGTTGTTATGGGTAGAAAGCCTACTGGAATGATTGGGTGGTGCAGGACTGACTGTCAGAACTCAACCTTTCCGCTTCAAAACTGAGCTGTGCTTTGGAAAGAGGGTGCCAGTACTTCTCTTCTGCACACTGACTTTTTAGTCAATCCTGTGTCATATGTGTCCTGGACTCTAGCACACTTAAGGGCAGCCCAAAGAAAGCTGCAAGAATCAGATATCTTTGTGAGTTGAAATTGCTTTAATTGTGTCCCGTGTGGCTCAGATTCTCTCTTCCGTCAACATCAACGTGAAATATTCAAAGAGTGTAGGTATTGCTTTCATGACTGTAAATTACCCGAGTTTCGCCTTACATAAGAAAAATACTTAAGCTCAATAAATGAGTTGAAAGCTGCTTTGTTTTGCAAAGTGATTACAATTACACTGAAGAATTTGGACCTTTGAGACAGTGAGCTCTTAAAGGTAAACACAGAGAGCATGGTGTAGAGGTAAACAGAAGCAAGCTGTTTTCATGGCCTTCTCTGTCATCCAAATGCTTCTTGCTGGAATACAACTACTCTTTTTTTGCCTTTGTAGTGGTAAAGCACTGGATTTGACAGTGTACACCGTCAAGCTTGGAGCGTCCCTAGGCAGCCTGCCTGTGACTTCAGTGGTAAAACTGATTTTATGAGGTAGCAGCTAAAGAATGTTTACTATTTGTATGATAGCATATCTAGATTTGTAGCACGCAATCCATCCATAAATATGTGTTTTCTCTGCCTTTCAAAATCTGCTTGGTTACTCATTTACACTTGGGATCATTTTAGTTCATATTGTCATGGGTTTGGGGATAATTGCGCAAGAGTTAAAAGGTCTTAGCTATGTCAGTGTCAGGAAGCAATGCTTCTATTTATGTTAATTTTGCAGGTAATAGGTACAATTAACTAATTTTTATAGTAGAAGCGTGATTTCCAAATTGGAAAGTGGAAATTAAGTGCAAAGTTCTAGAAAGTGAGTACAAGACAGAGTGGAAGCTATTACTTCTCCCATGCAGTGCTGCACTCTGTGGGGCTCCTGAATAATCGTTTACATTTTCCTCTTGAGCTAATGAGTTATGTGAAGGAAAAATGCCTCCAGATAGATTTAGTACACTGTTTTAAAGTGATTGTCACACAAAAGCTAATTGCAAAGGAGTATAATTTCTGAAGAATTAGAATCTTCTAATGTTAATTTCCCAGAGGGAAAGACATCAGACGAGATATTAATTGCCATAACTATTGTTCTTTCTTTTTATCGTTTGTGCTAATCTCCACTGTTTCCAACACAGCATCAATCTTTTAATCAACTTAAATTAAAACTTACAATTCTGTTTATTGGCAATGTTCACTAAGTTTGGAAATCTAGTAGAGTAAAAATTTGAAAGAAGATGATCTCTAAATCCTGGTGTTACGTTTTCACTTTGAAAAGTACATAAAATCCCCTTACTGTGACCAAGATTATATGTATTTATAATACTTATCATCCTTATTACTTCATCATACCTTAGCTCCCACAAGACATCTTTTTCCTGAGATCTTAGCCTCCTTTGTGTGGTGAGAGTTTCTGTTAGACTTATATACTAAAGGTGAAAAGGCAGCAAGTCCATGCAATTGCATTTCATAGAATATTATTTCATAAGACAAAAACATGCCAGAGACTGTTGTAACAGTCAATACGTCTGGTCAGATTTTGGTGTTCAGAAACATTGCTCATCACAACATAATTTATTAAAACAGATGTAGCTGAATATGATAAACTTCTAAGTTTGGGTTTGCTTTTCTGCTTTGATCCTGTAAAGGAAGCAAGTTTTCCCATCTCCCCCTCCCACTCTCCTCTGTGGGAAGAGTTAGCCCGAAGTATTCACAAATCTTTTGATCCCTGTCAATATTCCATGTGCATAGCTGCATCTCTGCCTTGACACTGAGTTTCTGGACTGGAAATGGTACGGCAAACAAACTCATGTCCATATATGAAGGTTCCTACAGTGTGACAGGGCGGTCACATGTATTATCCACTGTTTGGACTGAATGTGATTACTGGCTGACTATACACACGTTTGGATGAGCTATACATACAAAGTTATTTTTTAAGTAAAATCCTTAATGTTGGTGGACTTTGTGTAGCCATGAAGCACTTGGTTATGAAAAAATACTTGGAAGTGTTGAGAGATCTCTAGGAAGTTACAAAGAACTGTGAAAGAGGATGGGGTTTGGATGCTGTGACAGGTGTTTTCAAAAGTTTTTTTTTTTCCTTTTAAGAAGCATAAACATTCTTTAATTGTTTACTCTTTGCTTGCTCTTCAGACAACGTAATATCCTCTGTATTAATGCATTAGTCATCAAGCATGATCTTTCTTAAATCTTAGCCATCTGGATTTCATGTAGAAGATAAGAAAGAGCAGTGTTGAAGCTAAAGAAAACAGGAAGATCCCATGAAGAGAATATAAAAAGCAACTGGATTAAACTGCTTATTACAAAGCAAGCACAAATATTTTAAAACTAATCCTTGACTATGTCATCTCTGAAAGCTTCAAAGACTAGTTGTTTGTTTTTTCTTTTTCTGAACCTTGTCACCATGAAAGAAGATTGATTTCCTACCTGCTCAGATGAATAATTGTTGATGACAATACATTTAAATTTAATAGCTTTAAATGCAACAAATTTCAAAAAGGAATACATTTTTTTAAAATTGTTATGCATAAAGAAAGAAATCTTTCTTTAAGTACTTATTAGCAGAAATTACTTTTCAAATAATCTTCATTTAATAGTATATGGATTTTTTTGTAAGTTCCAAAGTGTGTGTGGCACAATTCTGTTCTCATCCCACTTTACTTGCTGAGCAAATCTGTTTTGGTTTATGTCAGCCACTGTTTATCAAGCACTCTCCTTTTTCAATACATCTCAAATGAGATAAAAATGTGTCTAGTGTTGTTGACATCAGACCCCTGAAACCAGCTGCAGAGTTGCTATTGTTTGGTTTCAATGCTCCCTAAAATGAATTTCCTTTCTGTTGAATCCAAGGGATATGGTGAGTGACAGGTCTTCTCTTTTTTTTAATCACACAGATCTGGCTGTTCCTCTAGATGCCCTGATAAGCAGCGCATATGTGTGTGAAAGGAAGGGAAACAGGAATTCCTTTCGGAAGGGTGACAGCTTTAGTAAGACTAAAGTGAGTTCAAGGCAGATGTTCCTGGCAGAAGTCAACTGAAAACTCACATCCTAAATTTGCACAGCTGCCAGCAAAGAAACATACATTTATCTTGGCTCTTTTTTAAAACATCGATCTTGTTAAAAAAAAAAGAAGAAAAAAAGGAAAAAAAATCAATCAAAAGCTGTATAAAGAGCTAGCTTTGCAGCAAGTATTTAGAATGCTGACATGTTGCAGCATGAAAAAAATGTGATGATTTAATTCCCAGAAAATATCAGCCCAGAAGTAATGTTAATATTCCTTGGTTTAATATATGAATGTTTCAGTCTTATGGGGTACTTCAAGGGCATAACATTGCATTTAATTAAGCATTTGTTGGTATTGTAATCAAAGTGGTGGAAATGACGCAAAGATTCCTCTCAGAGAACAAGAAGTGAAACTCTGTCTGATGCTATGTCTATAACATGAATTTGAACCTTTCTTTCTTTCAGACATCCAGGAAATATGTTACAGACTCCACTGATGCTCCTGGCCTCCTAACAAGTACACTATTCTTGGTGTGTGCTTCCTCTTGTGATTCTGTTCAGCACTAGCCTCTTTGATTTCCCCATTCTTCTTGTTCTGTGCTCCTCTTAGGCAGAGCACTACTGCTCTCTAGTTTTAAATGATAATAATATAGAACAACTTCTAATGCCTCGGAACTCAGAGGCAGTATAGACAGATAGATTAGTTCAACAGGGTGAGAAGCAACGTGGCTTAGTAGATCATGTAGGATGCAACCTTCCTTATAAGCAACTTTAGAAATACTATAGAAGCTAATAAAGCCATCCTGAAAGCCCATTATTTTGGCAGGCTGAAGAATTTAACTTGAAGTTCTGAGAGAAGCTACAGTTGTGGAGTGCTAGATAAGATGATAAAGTATTCAGAAGAAGCTGAACTTCATGGTAGTATAGTTGAAGAAATGTCATCACGGCACAGAAGTATTTAATAATGGAGATTTCAATTGCTCTTCAAACACTATAACAAGGAAAATAAAATTGAAGCTTTGTAGCTCGCTAGGAAGGTCACTTAATCTGAGCTCTGATATTCTGTCTTCTGATTAAAACAATAATTGTTATACTAAGAGCATGGGATTATAATATGCTGAAGAGCTAACTGAAGTTAATGAATTTTGAATTTTGACTTTTTTTTAATTCTAAAAAAATATCTCCAAAGAGCAGATGGTATTAAAGAAAAATGTTATATCCACAAATACCTGAAAACTGAAGAGGCTAAACTGATTTGGATAGAACTAAGCCCATTTACTAGATGGTATCAAATGACAGCATAAACAAGACATTTTCTTTCTTTCCTTGCTTCTTAGTAATATCTACTGTCTTTCTCTCCCTACTCCCTGTACAGAATTGCTCTCAAGATGTTTGTCTGATCTTACCATGCTTCCCTAAAAAGGACTACCAAGACAATATCTATTAAAAAACTCTTCCACTGCCCCACCCTTTTCAATATTGTGTTCTTGCGCCCCGCCAGGACGATAGTAAACAGACTACAGTGAGTCTGTTTCTTCTATGGCTCTCCTCCAGGGATCCTGTTTATTCTTTGTGAAATAACCATGAGCACTAAGTCACGTGGCTGGAGGCAGCATATTTTAAGAATTGAAGCAATGCTCCCCACTGGTGCCCTTGAGATTCTGCGTAATATTTTGTTGACTAGGCAGCTCTATGTAGGGAATCCTGGACAGATGTGAAGCTAGCCCAGAGGAGGCAGATTACATTAACAGCTGTTGTGAAGTGCTTAATTACTAAAAGCTCTGCTAGACTAATACTTTCCTCTTGATTTCAGAGGCCTCTCGTGTCTTTTCTGATAGAGCAAATTCCCACCTGCTCTCCAAGGAAGCTGCTTAATTAGATTAGAATGGACCATTGGAAGGCTGTAAAGTGCAATACACAGAGTTATCTTCTACACTGTTTCTGATTATTAGAATTGTGCTTGAAATGATTTATATTCAAACAAATTCTCTTTTAAGCTTTTGAACAGTGATTAGAGACAAGTTATGTCACTAGGTAATGTATTTGTTGTTCCAACAGTACCTTTTCATCAGTGAGAGAACTGATATGGCTGAGCTATTAAATATTTTTTTAATGTTTTTGACCCCTACCATCTCAAATTATTGTTTTTCTCCCTTCCCTGTGTGACTCTCACACTTCTCAGTCCTTTGCCTCACTCACCATTACACTCAAATTTCCTCACATATACTGTGCTGCTCTCTACTCTAGTGCAAGGAAACAAAACTTTTAGTGCAGAATGTATTCAGTGTGAGGATTGCTTTAGACAAATTTTAGACTCCTTGTTCACAGATTAATTAATCTTCTATTTGGGTTTTTGTTTTGTTTTGTTTTGTTTTTTAACATCCTGGCTATGCATAAGATTTTCTGTGTGGATTTATAAAGGAGTTTATTTTAAAATTATTAAATAGCATTGTTTTAAATCAGAAAAAGACTAATTGTCGAATTATGTAAGAAACCACTTCCCGGTTTCTTTGAGTCTTCGGACTGTTCCTGGAGTGATGTGATAAGTTCACCATTCAGAACTACTTTGGACAATAGGATTTCAATATCTGGGTCTTAATTCTTTATCTAAATTTCCATTTTTCAAGTATACACTATAGCAAGTACAATTTCAAATTATAAAGTAACTTGCTGTAGTATCAGATCTCAAAATATGAGCAACATAAATAGATATGTAAATACATAAAATGCAGAAAACAAAGAACTTTTTTCAAAATGTGTCACAGTTGCACAAATTCCAACATGCACAACCATATGAAATTGCAGTCTTTGGAATACAGCCCGTATGATGACTTCCTGATGATCCTTCATCATAATGACAAGATATCTGAAAGATCCATATAATACAGGCCGGTATTGCATTAATCCATATGCAGTTTGATCTACTCATCAGTGACAAGATCTGCCTCCAAAGCTCTGTTTGATGGGAGACACCAGCATTGGTTCATCCCTGGTAGTGACTGAGATGTATTACTATTGTGCACCAGTCCAGTGGCTACCGTGGCCTTTAATAATAGAATCGAGAACTACATGCATTGAACTGATGTATGCTGGCTCTTTGTTTGATTATTTGCTTAGTATGTGTTTAGCCATTTCTCCGAAGAAAATGGAATCTTACGTATTCAAATGGTAGACTTTCTTATCAGGGCATATGTCTGCTTCATTTATAGATAGGGGATAAAAACTGGAACTTTAAATATAATATATCCCATACTTGGAGGTGAGATCATGCACATGCTATAATTACATTCTTGATTCTGCTCTCTGTTATACATACCAGTCAAGAGAATCCTGTTAGGAAAATTCTTTTCTGCGTAAGTATGAATGCTGAAGTCTCTGTAAGCTAAATATCCACTGAAATTAAGGCTTTATTGCTTTGGAAATATACTTGGGAATCTAGGGGTAGAGATGAGGGAAGAGCAACTTATCATCATCTACCCACCCTAGTCTGTAGACTGAGATGCTTTTTGGAGACTGAGGGAAAGAATATGTTTGCTACAGAATCATAGAATCATAGAATTCCTAAGAGTTGGAAAGGGCCTCTAGACTAGATGGCTGTCTAGTCCAACTCCCAGTTTGGGACTCCTTTTGCTAAGTAGCAATTGCATCCATATGACAAAGATCCACGTTTGTCCAGGGATATTGACTGGGGCAGATTATATTTGTGAAACTCTTATTTTACAGAAAACAGTATGTGTGAAAGAATTGTCACATTCTTCACTGAAATGAAGGGATTGCTCGCAGATTTCACGTATTTGTCATCCATTCCCCGTGTAGGAAATCCTAGGTCACTTCTGCGCATTTATTAAATGTGTGGGTGGGTGGATGCATGGGAGGGAACACTTTGTTGTGACACACAATTATCCACATGTAAAAGTTATGCCAGATTCCTGTAGAGGCCAGAGTGACCAGGAAACAGGCTGCAAGAGTGACGTAGGGGAAATTCGATGAGGTTGCACAAGCAGAACACTTAGCAATAACCAGCAAAATGTCAAAGTTAGCAGGGAGGAGACTCTTATGTGTGTTAGGGTGGAGTTTTCTTTCCCTCCATCAAATTTGCAGTGGTAATAATAGTTGACACGTGATTTACATCTGCGTCTCCTAGAGACTACAAAGCATTATTTGCTAGTTTGCAATTGGTTATCCTTATCTTGTTTTAAGAAATACAGTCTGTTTCCTCTTTCTCATCCTGAGACTTGCAGCCAGATGCTTCAGCTGAAGCTTCCTTTACTGTCTCTGAGTACAGTTTGCCAGGATTTTAAGTGAAAATATATTAAACTGAATGAAAACCGTAATTATACAACCTTGTGTCAACTGTCACTATTCTAACTGATGAGATGTGGCAGAGGTACATGGCATGGGGCTATGGATTGTATGATTCTGCAATTTCCCTAGAAAAGAGTCTAAGAAGCACAGAGCTGAATGGAAGATTATGGAAGGCCAGCAGCACACCACCTGTCTGAGCATGGAGGAGACATGGCATCATGGTCTTTCATCCATGCTATTTGTTGTGTAGTAGAGCCTGCAGCCAGAGGGAGAACAAAGTTAGAGTTCTATGAGTGCTCCATTTGCATAAAAAATGGGCATTTATTAAGTAACACTGAAACTACTCCTAAATCTCTGAGATTTTCTCAAAATGTTTGAGGCACTTATCTTGCTGCTTGCTGTTACAACTACAGTTTTGACCTGGGCAGACTGGTGAGTGACGCAGACAGACTGGTGAACTGGCTGGAGAGGAACTTGGTGCAGTCCAACAAGGGCAAGTGTAGAGACCTGCACCTCAGGAGAAATAACCACACGCACCATCACAGGTTTGAGGCTGACCTGTAGCAAAGGACCTCTAAGGAGAAGGGCCTGGGGGTTATGGTGGACAACAGGTTGGCCATGAGCCCCCAGTGTTTTCTGGTGGCCAAGAAAGCCAGTGGTATCCTGGCATGCATTAAATAAAGAGTGGCCAGCAGGCCAAGGGAGGCGATCATCCCCCTCTACTCTACCCTGATGAGGCCACATTTCAAGTACTGCATCCACTTCACGGCTCCCCAGAACAAGACAGGAAACTTTTAGAGAGAGTCCAGTGGAGGGCCACAAAGATGATCAGTGGTCAGAAGCACTTCATTTATGAAGAAAGGCTGAGAGATCTGGGTCTGTTCAGCCTGGAGAACAGAAGACTTAGAGGGGATCATATCAATGATATGCTTATAAATATCTAAAGAGTGGGAGTAGAGTGGATGGTGCTAGGCTCTTTTCAACTCAGTGACTGACCAATGAACACAAACTGGAATACAGGAAGTTCCATAAAAACATGAGAAAGATTTTTCTTAATTGTAATAGTGACAGAACACTGCAGCAGGCTGCTCAGAGAGGATGTGGAGTCTCCTTCTCCAGAGATATTCGAGACCTGCCTGGACACTTTCCTGTGTAACCTACTGTTCAGAACCTGTTTTAGCAGGAGATTGGACTATATGGTTTCCAGAAGTCCTTTCCAGCAGCTATGATTCTGCTATTTTATGATTCTGTTGTGAAATCTTTTTCAAAATTTGCAATGATTTGGCTTTCATCAGAACTCCTACTACGTTGTGCTCCTTTAGCTTAGGTCTTCCACTTAGCTATTCCTCATGCAATCCAGAACAAGACTGTAGAATTACAGAATCACAGAATTACTAAGTTTGATAAAGACCTCCAAGATCATCGAGTCCTGCTGTCCACTTACCACTAAAATTTCCTCACTGAGCTATGTCCCTTAGTACAAAATCTACATGTTTTTTGAAGACCTCCAGGGTTGGTGACTCAGTCATTTCCTGAACAACCCATCCAGAGTCTAACCACCCTTTCAGAAGATAAACCACTCTTAATATTCAATCTGAATATCCCTTTGCACAACTTGAGGCCATTCCCTCTAGTCCTATCACTTGTTACCTAGCCACAACCCCCTTTCTGGTAATTATACGTAGTGATAT